CAGCTCACACCCCCCAACTGCACAACATGGACCAAGATGCGAACATGTCCATGTAATTGCTTGCCAAGCTTGGCATGATTTGTAAAGCATTGTGATAGTGTCTCTTGGAAGTACGGAGCGGGAAAAAAAAAAAACAGTGCTACTAATGACGATATCAAGACTAGTACTTATAATCTTATAATTACCAAAGAGAACATGGTCATACTTATACAGTACTCCTGATGAAAGGACGAAGGGACGAGAGGGCCGGCACCAGAGGATCACAGGACCATAGGACTGAGGACACAAAAAGAAAACAGGATGGCTCCGCAAGAAGCCCTGCACCATCCTCATCCATCATGTGGACACAAACTGGTGGCAAAGCCCACTGCTGCCTGGACAGTATCCACAACTATCAGATGCAATTATGATCAATTATGCAGATGGTGTATGAGCGATGGGATTGCTCTGGATCACCGCGCTGCCACCACGATTTTGAAGATGCTTTGCAGCCCATGAAAACAAGCCAAGGAGAGCTTCCCGAACTGAGTTTAGTATGCAGGCATAGTGGAGTCTGTAACTTGGACTAGCTTGGGCTGTTGCGATCGTGGCGCTTACTGAAGGTCTGTCCCGCACTGATTGCTGAAAAGCTCTAAGGCGCCGTCCATCAAGCCACCTTGCAAGGTTTCATGACAATTACAGCTCTGTGTCTTGCTCGCACTCCCGGCAACGTGCAACAAAACCGCCCCTAACCACTCTTGTTATTGCCATGCTCAATCTAGCGCCATTGCTGGGATTCTTCAGATCATGCCCGACAAAGCAGGCCAATGTCTGCATGAAAAGGTGAATGTCTAAGCAAGAACAGGTGGCCATGCCGGAGATCTGGACCTTTTGCGCAAACAAGCCGAGCCTAAGGAGCTTAACATCGAAGCCTAGACGCGCGAGCGCGCCAAGATTAGGGCATCCTACAAGTACAGCCAGAGTGCGTTCCCTTGCCTTGGAGTTGCAGGCTGCAGACTGGACCATCTGAGCGCTGCACTCTTTGAACCATTGGATTCTCTCAGTGCTGCCTCGGCTTTCAGAGAAGGATCTTGGATGATCTTGGGATCTACTTCACGCAGTTGAAGCTGGGCAACACAGAATAACAAGATCGAATATGCATGGTAGACAAGCAGTGGACTCCAATGTGGGATGAGAAAGGGACTTGATGCACGCCCGGATTGCGTGCGTGCAATTAGTGCGGCAAAGCTTCCTTCAGCAAGTGTGTTAGGGGGGCCAGCATCAAACTGCATCAGCTCAGCACGCAGGTCTCCAAGCGCAGGATCCTCCACGGAGACTTGGAGATGACAAAGCTGCAAAGGCGCAAGCAGCACATTCTGTGCTGCACTCCTGGCTATCCTGCTCGGGGCCCTTCCGCGTAGTCCACAGCAGCGTTGCCAAAGACTCAATCGACACAACTCATGTGTGTCACTACCCACATGCTACAGACTTCCACAACCCAAAGGTGGACCTTCGATCCCACCAGAACTGCAAACCTGCACCTACAGTAACTGACCGCGACTAGCCTCTTGCCCACTCGCGGACTCGGTGCTCTTCTCAGGATGTGAATCGTCCTGGCATGCACAACTTCTTGCTTCTAGCCTAGTATGCCTTTCAACTATAGGCTTTGCTTGGATGCACTTGTCCTTCTTTTGTTGGCTGGAGGTCAGGCTCATCTCACGCGCTTGACGAGAAGCAATTGTGTATCTCTGCTCCACCTCATGATGTTTTGGGCATAGCAGCACTAGCATTGCTGCAAAACTGCCCGGCATGATTCAAATCCGCCGAGGCCGGAGGACCTGGGACGTTTAGTATAGATCCAGCCCCGACCCCCCCCCCTTGCCTGCCCTAGAAACAACACCCCGCGGAATTGTGCGCTGGGGGGGGATGGTCGGAGCGGGGGTTGGGGTGGGAGTGGTCCGGCAAGAGCTGCGGCACAGGTTACGAAACTTGTTTGAGCATGCAGCGCATGTACGACAACCTTTGCTGAGGTGGTCTCGCGTTAGCGGTTAAATTGCTTGTAAGTTTTACGCCCTCTGCTTTGGAGACAGTGGTATGCAAGCCTGTCAACTCTCCAAGAACACCAGGAACAATACCCTTTTGGCCGGTAGTTGCCTTGAGCTCACGATCTTAAACACGGAAGCACATAATTCCACGTCATCCGCTTCCCCGTTGCTGCTTTGGTGTCTTCACAATTATGCTGCCTCACGCTGCAGCACCATTCTATTTCTACGAGTATGAAGCTCGCCACACCTGAAAGCTGACCAACAGGTCAATGTCGATTTGATATTGTGTGGATTTGCTGCTCTCACGATGAGGGCTTTTGACAAATCCTTCAAACCTTACTCCACCACCTGCCGCGCCTGCTTGGCCACATCACGGGAGTACCCCACAAAACCCTGATGCCGTAAGTGACGGACTGCAGCTTCCAGGGATGTGCCAGCACGAGTTGCCATGGCCGCATAAGCCTGAAGCACAACCACACGTCCTCAACAAGTCTTGGATTTTCCGGCACGATATGTCAGCAACGTGCCTTTCTGAAAGCTCCATGAGTTGGCTCGCTGAAAGGCCCAGGCCAGAGCTCCTGAGAACTGGCCAGGAGCTGCTTCCAGAACAGTCTGAACTCATATCCGTGTCCTTTCTTGCTCCGTTTGCTGGTGGTTCTTTCCCTCGAAACAGCACGATCATGCAGGAGAGGTTGTCCTGCGAAACAAATTGCTTGGCCCTTTTCTGCTGTATCGCCTCTGCTATGCACGTGCAGCCTGCAGTCAATATAGATACACTGGTGGGTGGACAATGCTTAGAAAAGGATCAGCACATTAGAACCTTTGCTTAGACCTTTGTCTTGCTGTGTGACAGATCTGAAGCTTGCTGCTGCAGAACAAGTAGCTACTCCCCCAGCAGTTTGGAACACAGCCACGGTCCATTGAGCCAGACTCCAAAGCTTTTCGGCAGACGGCTGCAGCGGCCTCCAGGATAACTTGTACCCCTTGTACCCCTCCCCATGGTTAGACTTCTCAACGACCTTGCCTGACCTCCCGACAAATTTGTGTACAACCACAGTATACATGCACATAGATATGCACATCTGTATTCACACAAACGTGTGGCATATCTTTCTTATCTGATCAAAGCGCGTAAGCCAGGAGTGTGCATGTGTCGCCTGTTCTGGTTCTTTGGACCGCAGCTCTTCTGCTGCTAACCGCACCTCGGCATGTCCGGAAGCCCAGCTTACGGAGTACCAGGAAATTCTGAGACGGGCGCAACATCCCTGTTCGGGAAATTGCCCTCCGATATGCCATCCTTGCACAGCGCACAGTAGACGTGGCCGCTACTGCCAAGGTTTCTCGTGAGAAGAACCACTTGAATGCGTTTGCTGAGGCCATTTCGCAGACGAGGAGGAGAAAGTCAGAATGGTCACAAGTTACTGTGGTGAATTCTGGCTCAGCCTCAGGACAAGTGCGCGACGTCCTGATACAACCTGTTGGACAAGTCTTGCCATGGACAACGATCAAGGTCTGCGCTGAGACAGGGTGATCCTCCTGTAGATTTGCGCAGAAGGCGTGTCTGTCTCTGCTACAGGAATCGCTGAACTTGCAGTGTCCTGTGCAGGGCCACCCGTCTGTTTGTGCTGCGCGTCACCAAAAGCTCGACTCACGGCAAGATCACCGTTCACACGGGCGACCCCCATCACCGTCTGAACCTTTGCCAGGGTCAACATGTCTAGCTTATTCCTGCTCATTGCCAGATGGAGCGCAGGACTTGAGCTCGTCACATGTCCACCAGTCCGTCGTATCCTTTCTTCTTCAACCTGAATTCGTGCGAGTGAGGCACTGCCGATTTGCCAGTGCATCCTTGGCCTTGTTGTCCGGTTTGTGATCGGTGGTGAGTCCACCGTCAGTCCCAGGACCTGGCTTTATTTTGAATCTGATTGAAAGCTATAGGGCACGGGACTATCTGAAGCACGGGCCTTCAACCATGGAGCCATCTGCCTTCCCTAGCAAGACTCGACTGTCACCAATGTTGCCGACCTTGACCACTTGTCACCCCAAAATTTGCCACAACAAAAGAGTAGGCAGTCAGAACTCTGAATCTGCACAAGCACTTTTTCCCCGCTCGCTCGCAGTGCGCGATGAAGATCGGGTAAGCGAGAGGATTTTACATACTGCCGGGGGCACGAATGCGCGCTGACCTACGACAAGAAATCATCTTTAGGCTTCGTCATCTTGCAGCTTTCCGAGTAGATTGACTGCTCGCAGAGGTCCTGGAACGGCTTCCTGGAAGAATGCAGAGTCTCAGCATTTCTCATCCAGCAGCGCCCAAACGTGCTGACGGATGCAGTCAGCATCTGCCTTTGATCAACTGGAAGCAGCTCGCAAACCCATGGAAGAGATGATCAACATGCAGACTTGTGAAACTGCAAATGCAGAGTAGGCTGTCTAAACACTTGGGAGCGGGCTTGCTGCCCCGGTCGGTGTGGGTCCCCAGCCCGATGGCCCCAGAGCGACTTGATTGGCACGAAACGGCAATCAGGAATCAACAGGCCCTCCTGCTCCTTGGCTGCGCTCGAATGCAGACATCTCAAGGGCCCAGGCAGAAGAAAATGATTGCCAGCAGGGCTCAATATCTGCTTCACCGAAGTAGGTATCGGTGCTGCAAGGCATCAGCAACACCCTGCGTGGGCAACGTGGGCAATGTGGGCAAGTGTGCGTTGAGGTGCTTGAATGCGCTTGGCCTCGCAGTGATGCGACCCAACACTCCACTCAGGGAGGACTCGCTCATGCCATGAGCCTCACAGATGTTCCCAGACCTGCCAGGCAAGTGCACAGTGTATCTGAAAATTGGAATAGCTTTGAAAGAGGCTATGAGAATTTGCTGAAGTCTCCCGCGCGTCACACATGTCGAGCCGCGCAATTGCAGCTTAACAGTGCAGCTGCAGATCAATTGCAGCATGCTTCAGTTTTTGGCCTCCTGTGGTTAATGTTTGGTAGATCTAAGATGTAATGGACATCCGAGCATGACTAAGCCAGTTCAGCTTTCATTTCTTCGTATGGAAATGCCTCTCATGTCCATGCTCAGCAGGCTGCATCCCCAACAATATCTCGAAGTTTCCAAATCTCAAAGTGCCCCACAATGACACGATATGATCACAATGTCTATGCCTATGGGGGCCGCCTAACATCTGCTGCAGAAAAGTGTGTGCCTGCCATCCCGTCATGCTAAAATTCTAAGAGTCATTGCACTGCATTTTGGCATCGTGGTCATTGTTCAAGCCAAGCATCACGTGGCCTCCATGTTCGTATCTGCGCCAGGAGGTTCAACGGATTTGCATTAGCAAATCCTCCTTCATACGAGCGACAAACAAAATCTTCCCGGCTGCTGAAGGGTTTTCCATCCCTTGAGGTCTCTCGCCACATTTCCTTCTGATAGAACTCCCGCGAGACTCCCCAGCCAGCATAAATACGAGCAAAAGCCTTCAGCCCGCGCTGACACGGCCCGCGCAACCGCCCAAAGCATCCGAGAGAGTCTACCCGGCAGTCAGGGTCAGCTAAGAGAGCCGCCTCCAAGGAATCGAGGAAAGTGATATTGAAGTCACTTGGTCGCGCTGAGCCACAAATTGCTGCAACTCGCTTCACCCGGCTTGGGAACATCGCCGCCCAGTGCAAAGCCTGCATGGCGCCCATTGAGTACCCGTAAACCAGAGCGACGCTGCTCACGCCAAGCGAGTCAAGTAAAAGTGCTTGTAGGCGAACATTATCACAAATCGTCGTCCCTGCTTGTGGGAAGTGCTCATAGGCTCGTCCCAGGCTGGAGCAAGGCGACGTAGAAAGCCCATTTCCAAGAAGGTTGACGATGATAATGCAGAACTTGCTAGTGTCCAACGTCTTTCCTGGGCCTATGTTGAACTCCAGCTCGGGATGTGTGGCATCGAAGGATGTTGGATGCAGGATACAGTTGGATTTGCTATCATTCAACGAACCATACATCTTGTACACCAGGCGCAGTTCGGATGCATTCTTGCCTGCTCTCAAGGTAAAGGACTCGGGCACCCTCCATACCTGTGCATCATTCGCAAGCACCGGCTCGATTCTGGATGACCGGAAAGATCTGAAGGTCAGCCCTAACAACTTCTCAGCTTTGTGGTTGCTGATGATGGAATCGAAGCCTGTTAGGGTTGACCGGCCAGGCAGCAGGCAACCTGTCTGCTGGAAGTGATGCGTAATGAGGTCTGCCTTAGCAGCAACAAGAAACATCGCTGTCGATAAGGACGGCCCCCACAATGAATGCAAGACAGCGGCAGTTGGTACATCATAACGGGTGTCCGGAGCCACGATGAGGAACGTTTCACACCTTGGGTGGAAGTGTGCTTTCCGCAATTTACCTTTTTTGCAGTGGTCCGAGCGGACTGAGGACCCACAGCGGTTAACCTAATCGCAGGACGCAGTCTCTGGGCAAGTCCCTCATTGCAGCTTGCTGTATAGCAGCCAAGACACTTGGACGGCAGCTGTTCCAAAGGCAGTAACAAAGCTTTAACATGTGCGTCAACAACATCATGCTCGTGACAATACGCCCACATCAGAGGTGTAACCGCATGCTCTGGCAATCTCATGGGCAAGTCCTGCCACTTCTCAGCCTTGATGATGTTGGAGAAGCGTAAGGATATAAACGAAAGGCTACCTTTCCTTTGTCGTTTGCGTGGTGGAGAGTCCTGCAAACCTTGGGATTCATATCCTGGAGCTCGAACAAGCATTGCAGCAAAATCTTCGCAAAAGCACTTGCTAAGACCATAATGCTCTAATGGCTCCGCTACGTGCTCTTCATCCAGTGGCAGAAACTCAGGCATAAAGGCAGAGGGCTCATGAGACCAGCCCATAGCAAATAAGGAGGACGAGAACACCACACGTCTCGCCGTAGCTTGCGCGGCAATAGCCTCAAACAGCATGCTGGTCCCAAGCAGATTCTGTCGCATCAGCTCAATGCCAGGGACTTCCTCTAGACCAATAGGGGCATCCGAGACAGGTTTGACTTGAGGAGGTGGGTGCTTCGAAGGGCCAGGTATGGCAGCAACGTGGATGACAGAAGTAACCCTTGTAACCAGCCCCTGCATGGCATCAGCATCGCACAAGTCAGCTTCCACAAAGGTGACTTCTTGCTCCCTTGGCCCCCATAGCTTTGGCCGATCTGTGGGGCTAATTCGATCCGTAGCCACCACAGTCAAGCCTGCATCAACCAGGCATGAGACAATCTGGCTCCCCAATCGGCCAGATGCACCAGTGACCAGAACTGTTTCTGGTGTTTCTGGCATGGCGCCACGGGACTTTTGGTTCTTCTCCAGGCTGGGGCCTCGCCTAAACAGTCAGGTGCTGCCGGCATCTTCTGAACCTGAAACAACTAGCGGCATCATCCCCTGAGACTTGTTTCCGCAAAGTAGGGCACACGCAAACCTTGCAAGTTGCTGGTATGGACTCTGAAGCGCCCGGCTCTAAGCAAGACTTGCTCAGCAGATGGAACCACAAAGGCAAAGGTCCCGGTCGAGCCGCTGGGCTGTCACATGGAAACGATCGACAAGACAAGAGAAAGCACGCAGGCAACTCCTGTCTGAAGAAAGCTGGCCTGCTTGGCATCCAGAAACTCTTGGTCTATTCCTCAGTTTACCGACAGAGTGTGCCCGGCACCACAATTGCGTATGTTGTTCGGTGCCTACCAGACCTGACCAAGGCTGCAGTGACAAGTCAGATTAACACTCTGCAGCTATACCCATTGTTCATGTCCATGTAGGGGCGCTTCGGAGCATGAGTGACTTCACTGTGGCATCGTCTGCTGGAAGCGGTTGTGAACTTAGCTCCTGTTCAGAACATGAAGCAGTGGGACTTCTCCAGTATATTCCAGTAACATTGATTAGGCTTGGGTCCTCAGTCAGCCGTTTCGCCACGAAAGAGGAGCATTGTTGGCCACCATGACCGTCGAAAACGCCGAAGAAACCTGAATGGCCACTGGTATCCACTGCGACGGAGGTCTTATCAGACTGTATTTCTGGGAAGCCGGGTTTGTAGCTTATTTGTTGGCTTAGGCATCTGAGATACAGATGGAAAATAATGCAATCTATCGAAAGCCGCCAACCGTTGCTTTGCCGAGAGCACACGCTGAGTCTGGTGGTCTCTGGTAACTTTCATGCTAACAAGTGAGATCTCTTTATGCAAGTCCGCCTTTGACAGAAGTCTTAGCCCATTTGTTACCTGTGATGCACTCTCTTGATGGCGTAGATCGCATTGTGGGGCTACAGCTGATATGCCTGCGAAGCGCAATGCCCAGCAAAGTCCGGGGAAGTCTACAAGGACCCACGGTAGAAATCAGCGACTATCAAATACCGACAGCAAAGTCCAGGGCCAGGACTTGCACGGTCAGATTAGATTCGATTAGATTGTATTGGGACATCATATTGGGACATGAAACCCAAAATCGTCCTAGTGCTTCTTGAAAAGTTGCGTTCGCACGCGCTGTGTACAAACATAGCATGAGAGAGTGGCTCGATAATCTCGATGCTGCCGAGTGGCCCCAGCTATCCCGCCTAGTCACGGTACGTTTGCTTTGAGAATCCCATGCACAGGTGCCAAATTTCATAATGTCTCCGAGGCACATGACAGACACGTGGGCATCCTGGACATGAGCACTTTTGCAACATCTTTCCCTGCGTGCACTTTCTACCTGCGCTGCCACAGAATCACGGAGATCATTGGTGAGTCCTCCATCGTTGGCCTCCAGCCATTCATCTCAGCTATTCCCACTTGGAACAAAGGCCCAGCCTGAGGTTCAACATGTGCACTTCAGCCCAAGCAAGCTTTGCAATGTGTAACCAAGGCATCAGCATCTCTCTCCAGCGCTATGGAAGTCACTGCTTTTGGCAGGCCTTGCCCCATGATGAAAAACCTCAGGCGGCTGTCTTGGCGTGCTTTGCAGGCAAGCACTATAGCAGATTGGCACCTCTCAGGCTGCGAAGAAGGAGTGTCAGACGCAGGCACAAAGGGTTGTTTAACAACCGCTGTTTTCCCCTATGCATTTTGAGCCGTGAACCGCCTCTGCACCGACAAAACAAGATTGCATTATGACATGAGCAGTACGCAAAAGCATGTTGACGCACCCCTCGCCCTTATCATCATCACCTCATCGCCACGCAACAGCCGCACAGCACTTGGTTTTTGACGTGCTTCAGATAGCTTCTGGACTGTAAGCGTTGGCAACTGCAGAAAGAAGCAAGCTCAGCGGCTACAGGTCAGCTGGGACTTATCCAGCGAGCCACACCCAAAGACTTGGCCAGCAGCATATGAATATGCACATCGGCGAAAGGCATTTGAGCCGTCTGGTAACCTCGACTTCTCGTACATCCCATTGCCTTAGCTAGCAGGCTTTAGCAGGCTCCCCATAAGGAATCTGTGTTGCGCGCTGTGTTGAAAGCTAGGCATGCGGCAGTCGTCGTTGATGGGAACGCGTTCGCAACCATCCTTTGCTTCGATCAACTTGCGAGGCCATGCCTGGCAATCTGCGGGCTCACAGCACGTCTCATCAGTGTTGCCAGGAACATCGTCGATGTCCGGCTTCTTGACCAATGCAGGACCATTCTGGCGGGCGCTCAGAAATCTTGCAAGTACAAAGCAGTTGCCACATGTTCATGCCAGCCTTTATTTATGGTGCAGCATTTGCTTAGCTGCCAACCGAATTACAGAGAGACAAGTTCTGCAGCATGTTTCAACCTAGGGTGTAGGGAGGAAAGCCTGCACCAGGTAGCATCCCCGACCTATTGCAATTCCTGGGTACATTACATACGGGGTGGTACTTTGTGCCGTGCCGAAGTGAAATTGAATGGCAACACCTTTTCGATTGAAACAAGATGGGTCGAAAGCTTTGAGGTTTTGCCTCCCCTGCTCGCGTGAGTGGCAACGAATGATTTTTGGCATGAGGTACGAATTTGTGCGCTCAAACATCGTCGGGCCTTGGAGACGCAATTGTCGTGACCGTGCAGCTCCAGCTCAATCAATCCTTGACACATCTTTCCGCCCCGCGGCATCTCTAGGACAAATCTGAAGTAGCGGCCAACAGATCCAGCTGGAATGGCCTCGTCCCATGTGGCATGGCTTGTGGCGTTTCCATGCAAGATCTTCCGGAAGGTTTTCCCCGTGAGGGAAGATTGAAGCGACCACTCACGTGTCCTGCTGTCCAGATCCTCAAAGTTAGTGGCTTTGAGGTGATTCACCTTCACAAGCCTGCCCATGTCAATCTCCAGGTATGGCTTGTCTTCCTCAGGCTGCCAGTCGTGAAGATCTTCTTGGCAGCCCTCTGCCTCTCCGGAAGAGCAGACCTGTGCTTTTTTGAGGTTGCAAGCAGACACCCAGCCCTTCGAAAGCAGCCTGTCCGACTTCCCATCAACCGCCAAAGTAGGATGGCTGATCTTGCCCTCTTTGGTGCTTTTTGCGGACCAAGAGTTGGAGGAAACGTTTTTGTTCAAGGCAAGGTTGGCAACATCATCATTGCACGTGTAGTCGTCGGAAATGACCTGGCACCATCTTCAGAGCATCGGGGTGCCCGCTGTCAGTATGTTCATGTGTTCAATCATGTTGCGCATTTATTTGCTCTCACTCATTCTCACTTCTCACCGCCAGGGTTTGTGATGGAAATGCACTGGCTCTCTGTCTCTCTCCTCCTGCTCATCTTCTGAGGCACTGCGCCGCCCGACTAAGCACGATGACGGGTCCTATCCAATATCGGGCCGGAGTGGCGAGATTGTATAGAAGCAAAGCCCCCATGGAGTCCATAGAGTAATGAGATGATTCCCTACCTCGTCATACAACATCTTCCTTTCCAGCCGCATCCTACCCGCTAGCCCCCAACCAGGCAGGATCAGATGCCAACAAAATGCAGCACCATGCCCACAGAAGTCATCATTGCTGCTTCAGGGCCTTTGGCCTTTCCCTGGGCATGAAGATGTACCTGGACATGTAACAGAGGAAACACATTAACTCGCAAGAGTCTTCATTCTCCAACAAAAGCCAGTCATGATTGCCCAACCACTTCGAGGCAGAGCATGTTGATAGCCATGGACTCCAGGCTCTGCTGCTACACGGCGTTGTGACCGCTTTTGCTCTTCTTGTTCTTCTTCTTCTTCCAAAGGCTTCGCGCAGCCCCTCAGAGAGGAAGCGCGCAGGGTCTAGGCCCCATAACCAAAGGTCTGGTACACGTGTCAGCACGCACGAGGACCGGGACGTTGCGTGTTGCAAGGCCCATTCATTCCTTTACTCCAACATGTGTTCAACACTCGATCTCTCTTACTCTTCTGCAGGCTTAATATGCTCCCCATGGGGATCACCGGTGCACTGCGCCGAGCCCATGAGGTCCCAGGTGCGACGAGGTCCTATAAAGCTCAGAACCCCTCCTTCTGGATGCGCATACTACCTTCCCTGCTTCTCCAGCTTGCCATGATACTTACCGCTGCAATTGCCCCCCCCCCCCACACACAAACATTTTCGCAGACAGTATGAAAGCCACCGGAGCAATTGCTCGCGCTCTCGCTCTTTCTTTCTTTCTTTCTTTCGCTTCTTCTTCTTCTTCTCACTGCTCTACCCTCTCCCAAAGGAGAGGGCCGGGGCAATGCCCCAAGCAGGCGTGGTCCAGGCGCACACCGACTCAGGGCCCGATTAGCGACCATACTCAGATCCACGAAGAAAAACAATTCGCATGACGTTGAGCCCACCTGCAATAATACTGCACGAGCATACTCCCATGCGGATCTGCCTATGGACATCATCGCTACTGAGCTCGGCTGTGAAATACCCAACCCACTGCAGTTCTACACTCATGGTAGAGCTTGCTTGATTTTAGGTTGGGGTAGCGTTCAAGGTGGACTCAAGATCGTGACCCCACAAGCACGAAGATACCCTAACAACCTCAGTTCAACCCCGATCTTGTCTCTCAAGTTCCACCCGTATCTTTCTTTCGCTCTCGCTCTTCTTCTTCTTCTTCTTCTACAGGCTATGCGACACCCGAAGGTGTCGCGGAGGCGAACCTCCAGCCCCACAGTTCGATGTGTCCAGCAGGAATGGTTTCCGCGTTCGTTGGATCATTACCCGGCACTCCCGCTCTCTCTCTCTCTCTCGTCCCGTCCCCTCCTTCTCCTTCTCCCTGTTTGCATGCAATGACTGCTAGACAGCAGACCAGAGTCAAACCCAAACAAGCGTGAATACTTCTAGCTAGACAATGCTCATTCATGCTCTTTCAGTGGAATCACACAACAATGTTTTTGTCAATGGTGGTATGCCGGTATGGATAGGGCCTTGCTGAAACCTTGAAACCCATCCTGCGGAGACTGCCAGGACTCGATGTACGCGTCCCCCTCGATCTTCGAAGCGGTCGCGTAGAGTGGTATGCTAAGATCCGCAGTGTAGCACGAGCAGGATTTGCCAGCAAAGCCCATGCCGAGCAAGTTGGGATCAGCGGCGCAAAAAGTTTGGCAGTCAGTAATGCTGCCTTCGTCGAGCACGGCACTGTTGACTGGTCTGCCGTCAAACCCAGATGGTGCCATGCCCTTAGCTTCCTTGTGCCACATGGTCACTCGCTTCTTGCCTGCCTTGGCTGTTCATTGCATCCAGCCAAGTATCCTTTGCAATGCTGTTCAAACACCCCAAAATGCCCCGGGCAGTTAACAAGCATTGCTCCTGATTTTCGGCTGAGTGTCCACCACGGCCAAACTACAAAAGGCAAAACAGAACACAGAAAAAACATATCCAGCTTCCATCTTGAGGCAAGCTGTGCCGTTCAGGCCTCGTGGCTGCGTCCTACCCTACAATACGAAAAGCTAAGCTCTGGCTGGACTGACGGAAGTGTTGTGCAGCGTGGTTACCAATTTTGCCGAGGCGAGGCAGCAAGATGAGCAAGTGTCGAGAGGATATTGAGAGGATATTTGAGGAGGTTTGAGCAATAATTCCTCATAACATGGGAGGGAACGCTTCTATGAGGTGTTCACGCCGAGCTGCTGCACCGCATGAGTGCATCCTGCACGTCTTCTGGCAGCACTCTTCGTCAGTGTCGCCAGGGCTGCTCAGCTTGGACTGGTCCGTCACCCAGCCTGTACGATTGGTGAGGTCTAGGAAAGACAGCTCAGTTCCTACGTCCCGCACCACCATTCGACTGCCCCAAAGTCAAACCCGTCTGGCAAACTGCGTTCAACAAGTCAGAGCTGCCCCCGACTCCAGAAGCCAAAGGGCAACCAGGACTAAACCAGCCTGCACTGCAGCTGTGCTTGCTGCACGAAGGCTTGCAGCAGAACGACTCATTATTGCCAACCTTGTGCACGGCCTCGGGATCCTGCGAGCAGGACATCCAAGACTTGCACATCCGCTCCTTAGCCCTGTCCTGTCACGCACGTCCTCCCAAAACCACATAAATGGGAAGCTAGGAAACAACAGAACGAGACCCATGCCGCAGACACGTGCGAATAGCACGAACATACATCCGCCGACGAAAGTTTTGCTAGCTTCAGATATGCTCGGGTCTCTTCGTTGTCCTGAAGCCATCCATTCGACGCATCGCAAGCGAACTTCTCGCAGGTTTTCAAGCAACACTCATCTTCGCTTTTTCCGACCTGGCGCTGACTAAACACACTCAAATGCAACATTTACAAAAGCAATGTGCAAAGTTAGTGCAAAGTGCAGGGCTGTTTCAAGCTTTCCCAGCACCCTCTTTCAGTACTGGTTGTGGCACCTTGTCCGAGACCTCCTGGTTGGGAACCCATCCAGCGCTGCAGGAAAAACGCTTGCACGTTGCCAAACAACAGGTGGCATCACTATCTGCTGGCAAGGCCGCCGCATCTGCTTTGGTCTTCCACCCAATGGATTCCCGACACTCATGCAAATGGCAAGACTTCAAGCAGCAAACCGCATCTGTTTGACCAGGCTTGCTCTGGACAAGCTTGTTGGGCACCCAGCCCGCGTTGGTGCATGTGTGATTGCTGCAAGCCGGCTCACAGCACGTTTGTGCATCATCCCCAAGAAGGTGGCTCTTTGAAGGTGAGTTTGCCCACCCAGCCGAAGCGTCACACTCGTAAACAGAACATGTTGCAATGCAGCACTCTTCATTCGAACGGCCAATATCATCTTTTGCCGTGTCGTTGCGCTTCCAACCTGTGCCACCTCAGATTTGCCAGTGTTGACTATCTTACTGTCTCCCACTAGCTGAACAGAGCACAGTCACTGCGGATTGTCTTCACTATCCTGTCTCGGTTGCGCCAGTTGTGCAACCAAGGCCAAGTGACATTTAAATGCTGAGCAGTATTTTTGTTCGCAGCATCTGTCATCATTGGGGAGCTCTATGTGCAACTTGCTCTCCGGAACAGCGTAGCCGGCGGGACATGTCCACGAAGTACATGTCTTGCAGCGTCAGGACAGGAGCCAGTTGCACATGTATCTGTTTATGCTAAGTTCAGCTACAAAACAAGTATATACAATAACTAATGTTAAGTTTCAAAAGCACAAGAGCCTTCTTGCAGCACTCTGCCTTGCTGTTCCCAATACGGCGGAGAGCTGCCAGGTTTGGTTCCCATCCAACTTAGTGCAGTGCCAGAGCAAGCAGATTGAACAAATACTCCGCGCTACAGGCTACAACACCTGCGCTGTTGCCAGTGAGTCACGTGCTTCGCAGTTGAACAGGGCACAATGAGGAGCACAGCAGGTGTCTTGGTCGTGGCCAACCCTGACAAGATCTGTATCGTTCAGTGCAGTTTAAACTTGTTTGACTGATATTTGCGATGCTGTCGGGCAAGCAGATTCCGTCCTCACGGGTCCTGGCTTCTGGCTCCAATTGCCAGGGCAGCTGAACAGCTCACAAGTTATTTCCTCAATGGCAGCTACCAAAGCAATGGCAACCTCCACGATTTTTCCCTTGACGTGTCAACCCTGCAGGCAAGACTGTGTTTAGTTAAGACAAGCGGCGCAGCATTCATCTTCTGAAATGGAATGAACCGAGGCCCCCCTGCTCTTGTATCCCTTTTTGCAGTCCACATGGGCACAGGTCTCATCGCAGCACATATCATTACTCTGATAGACCTGCAGGTCAGCAACTTGGCATAAATATAAAAAAAAAAAAAAAAAAAAA